CCCTCCTTACAATCACCCTCCTTACAATCATCCTCGTTACATTCATCCTCGTTACAGTCACCCTCCCCACACTCGGCTTCGACAGAACAGCAGGCAGAGCGTAGGGAGGCCGGCGGGGGGGAACAGGTGGAGGTGGGGGAGGAGGGGAAGCAGCTGGTGAGTGGGTGGGCGTATGAAGCGGAGCAGATCATCCATGGGAAGGCCTCAGGCGTGGACAACCACGTGTGCTGCCATGGTGAGTGCGGTGCAATGCACTGCAGTGTGGTGTCCTGTGGTGTGGTGCTTTGCAGTGAGGTGTGATGTGGTGTGGGGCCTTAATGCCAGGCAGTGCACTGCTCTCCATGGCGCCCAAAAGCACATCTCTCGCCCTCTCCCATCTCCTTGCTCACTCTCCCCTCTCTCACTTTCCTCTCTTTCACCATCCACCCTCTCACCTTCCTCCCTTTCACCATCCACCCACTCACCTTCCTCCCTTTCACCATCCACCCTCTCGCCCTCCCCACTCGCACGCTCCACCCCACAACCACCCCAAACTTCCCACCCTCTGCACCATCGGGAGCTGGCAGCAACGTTACAGCACGTTCTTCCAGCAGCGTTACAGCACGTTCTTGCAGCAACGTTACAGCACGTTCTTGCAGCAGCGTTGGCCACAGCCCAACCTCTGCACGTGTACCTTCCACCCTGCCCCCCATCTCCACCATCTCCACCCTCCCAGGAGGCATAACGTCCTTCCAGCAAGGAAAGGCTTTGCCCATCCCCTGCGCCTTACCGCTCTCCCTGCTGCTGACCAACACGCGAGTCCCCCGCAGCACGCGTGTGCTCGTGTCGGGAGTGGCTGCTCGCCTGGCCGCGCATGCTGAGAGCGTGGCAGCCATTCTGCATGCCATGCACCAAGTGGCCCTGCAGGTGAGCGTTACAGTGACATGAGGCCTCAGGTCAGGTCAGTGGCTCTCAGGGACCAACCAGGTATCTTGGTTGAGACAACAAGGGGACACCATGCAGTGGCTACTCGCCTGGCAGCGTGACAGCCGTGCTGCACGCCATGCACCATGTGGCGCTGCAGGTGCGTGTTGTGAGGAGCCCAGTGTGGTTTAGTTGAAACAAGAACGGTGCACCATGTGGCGCTGCAGGTGCGTGTTGTGAGGAGCCCAGTGTGGTTTAGTTGAAACAAGAACGGTGCACCATGCAGTGGTCGGCCGCGTGGGAACGCATGTGATGCTGACAGCGTGACAGCCATGGTGCATTCCATGCTCCATGTGGCCCTGCATGTGCGTGTCACACGAACATGAGGTCTTGGGGGGTACTTGGTGTGTCTTGTCTTGGTTGAAACGAGAAGGGTGCGCCATGCAGTGGGTGCCCGCCTGGCAGCGCATGTGATGCTCACAGTGTGGCAGCCGTGCTGCATGCCATGCACCATGTGGCGCTGCAGGTGAGCGGCGTGTCATGCATGTGATGCTGCATGCCCAGGCACCATGCATGTGATGCTGCATGCCCATCCCCATGCATGTGATGCTGCATGCCCATGCCCATGCATGTGAGCTGCATGCCCATGCCCATGCATGTGATGCTGCATGCCCATGCACCATGCAGCATGTGGCCCTGCAGGTGAGGGCAGAAGGACACATGGCATGTCACGGACGTCATATTGAAAGTCATACATGGCACTTGATGCGACCTATCACATGCTCACGGCTCATGGTGTTTCCTGTGCCACATACCACACCATGCCATGCCTTGCTCTTCACCGCATTGCTACCCAGGCCTCACAGCTGCTCCAGCAGCAGCAGCAGCAGCAGCAGCAGCAGCAACCGGGATTCGAATCAGGAGCAGATGTTGCATCCGAAGAGGCGGATACGAGAGGAGCAGGAGCCGTGATACAATCAGCAGCGGCAGCGCCTGCTCGCACACTGTCCTTGGCCAGCAACGCAGCACCGGAAGAACCATCAGCAGCAGCAGTGCCACCAGCAGTACAAGCAACTGTCGAAAACGAAGCAGCGGCAGCGCCAGAAAAGCCAGCAGCAGCAGCAGCGGCAGCGGCATCCATAGCAGCAGCAGCATCTGGCCCTGTCTATTCATCCCTGTGCACGCTCGTGAGCATGAATCAGGGGCTGCTGAGCGCGCTGGGAGTGAGCCATGGCAGCATTGACACAGTGTGCATGGCATCGGCACGCCATGGGCTGTGCTCCAAGCTCACAGGAGCCGGGGGAGGCGGGTGTGTCATCACGCTGCTACCACCAGGTGGGTGTGGGTGTATGTGTGGGTGTATGTGTGCGTGGGTAAGTGCGAGTGTATTTGTGCGTGAGCTTGTTAGTAAGTGTAACGCGTGCACGTACTGTATGTGTCATGCGCTTTTTATGGTATGCTGCTTTTGGTCCTCCCTTTGTGCTTGCCACGCATGTGTGCGCTGTCCCTGTTTTTGTTTTAAGGTGTACATGCCCAGTTCTGCTGCAACTTGTTTTGGTATCAAAGAACATGCGCTGCTAACTCAACAAACTTTTTGTGTCCTGCACACTTGTTCAGGCACAGCGGACAAAACAGTGAAGCTTTTGCAAAGCGAACTTCAGGATCTGCACGGATTTGATTGTTTTAAAGTATGCTTGGGTGGTGATGGGGTGATGTTGCGTTGATCCTCCTATACTACACCTTGTTATTAGTGTGAAGTTTGTCAGAATGCATGTGCAAACCGTAAAGCTTGATCACCAACTATGAAAATCAGGTTCTGTAGCTTCAGTTTTCATCATGCAACGTAGGCCACATTCGCCTACTCCCTATGCTTGTTGGAATTTTAGGGACCACAATCTAACAGGAAATGTGTTTGCATAAACTTATTTGTTGCACAATTTTTGTTTCGTCCTTTGTAGTGTACTGTATAGCTTCATTCTTGTGCGAGGTCCCGCCTGTTGGCTTTGGCGGGAATGTGGTCTTGACCACCCCCCCAGTTGAGCACAAGCGCAGCGACTCTGCTGAATTTTGGTGAAGCTGAAACCAGACCTAGCTCTTCGCGCCATAAATTTCCGAACCTGCCCCCCTGCTGTACATTTTCATACCTACGAGGCTTTTCATGTTAGGCACGGCCGAGAACTCCGAAGCTGAACTTTTGAGGTTCGCAATGGTTCGGAACCACGAGCTTAGCCTGTTCGGCTGGTCAGAGCTAAGTTGGTTCGGCACGTCGAGTCAATGGCTCCCCAAACATCGGTGTTCTTCGCGAGACGATCAACGGAAACATCGCGTCGCAAAGGGTTTGAGACACTGGGATGGGGTGACCGCGGCCCGAGTCTGGGCAGAAGGGCCAAAATAACGGGCCGAAGCAAAGGATCATTGACTCCTCACCCCACAGAAACCCTTTTTCTGGCATCAGACCGTCGAATGCTTGTTTCCCACCCATCGTTAGCACCGGATCATCCGCCACTGTTCATGCCTGCTTCTGGGGGGCAACACGACTGATCGTACACTGGTTCACATCATCGCACAAAGCGTCATACGCAAATCGCAGACCAGATCACCCAATCAAAATCCTCCTGACGCATGGTCTTCGATCGCTCCACGCTCGAATTTCCCCGAGTCGCAGAAACGTCATTTCCAGACCGAAGCGCGGCTCCGCGCTGCTGCAGCAGCAGCACCTCTTGTGCGAACCGCCGGCTCGCCCCTCCCGTTCAACCCCGCCTTGGGAAATCCCTCCCTGCTGCTGTTCCTTTCTCTGTGACAGTCAGGTCAGAAGGAGAAACCATCCAAAAAGCTCTCTTCCCCATCTACTTCGTCCGTGGCTTGTCTACTGTGCTCTCATCTCACTATTTCCCTTAGATTTGCCACCAAAGCACCTTCTACAGGCGTGCGTCTGTTCTAGAACCTCGGCCCACTTCTCCAGCGCTACTTCGGTTTGAACGGATTTCGCGTCTAGTAGTTGCGGCTTCTTGGCGAGACTCACAATGACGAAAGTGATTCGGGAAGGCAAATTTAGGTCTGAATAAACCATCCCGATTAAGATGGGCTCAACTTAGCTAGGACCCCGAATTTAGTCGCTAGAGCAGGACTTGCGTATAGCAGTTTCACGTAGTTCTACCACTCTCAAGCCGCCATCTCGGCGGTATAACTCTCAACCAAAACCTTCCAGCCTCGACCATCCGTCAACATGACCTCCGTCTGTCAGATCTGCGGCGATTCCGTCGGCGTGGCCGTCGACGGAGAGCCATTTATCGCGTGCGGCCACTGCAACTACCCCGTCTGCCGGCCATGCTACGAGTACGAGCGCAAGGAGGGCGGCAAAGCGTGTCCCAACTGCAAGACCTTCTACAAACGCCACAAGGGCAGCCCGAGGATCGAAGCGGACGATGAGGAGGACGAGGAGGATGGAGGAGACGAACAACCAGCGGACTGGCGGTACCGCTCGTCGCTCTACCAGAGCGATCCTAGCCCTCCGCCGCCGGCAGCAGGAACGCTGCATCAATCTCAGCCGTCCATGGACGACGCGCAGAACCTCGGATATGGCGCGTCGCCGATTCACGAGAACTCCGCGTACCGAAGGTCGCAGATGGACAACGACTCGGCGAGTGACTATAACGAGCACCTGGGCATGCCCGTGGGGTCGACGTCGCCGCAGGTCGGGCCGCGCAACGCTATCGTGCCTAGCGGACCGGGCTTCGGCACTTTCGGGAACTCCGCCAGTCAAGCGCCGGCTGAATGGCTCGCGCAATCAGGTAAAAGGGAAGATTCAGCGCAAAGCGAGTGGAGGAAGAACGAAGTTACATAATGGCTTTTCCTCTGCTTTTGTCCGTTGCTCAAAGAGCTGTGTACCGTGTTCTCGCTGTCTCATTCCGCTCGCCCGATTTCCTCCGCGCGCCTCAACTTCCCTCTCCGCCTTTCCCACTTCCCCGGTGCCCTTTCCGCGTGCCTCAGGTTCGGAAACTCCCGCCGTGCGCGCGCTGGACCCGAAGAAGGACCCGACCGAGTACGGATACGGCAGCGTCGTGTGGAAGGGGCGCACCGTGGCTTCCGCCGATGGCATGGAGGCGGGCGCGGGGGGCGCGGGGAACTACGCGTACGGCGGCATGGGCGCGGACGGGTCCCCCACGCAAGACCAGGATGGAGATCTGCCCACGTGAGTGTTAGATGTCTGGTGGAGATGAGCGGGGCAGTAGGCAGGCATGTCTGTTGTTGTGTGTATGGGATTCACGTGCTTGCCTTTGGCTGTCTGTGCCTTAGATATCGTTTCGCCCTAATTCTTGTTCCTCTTTCCCCTCCCCCTCCTCCTTCCTCCTCGCGTTCAGCATGGACGAAGCGCGCCAGCCGCTCTCTCGCAAGGTCCACCTCAAGTCGGAGCTGATCTCTCCGTACCGCCTCGTCATTGTGATGCGCTTCGTCATCACCGTCCTCTTTCTCCGCTGGCGTATCATCAACCCCGTGTGGGACGCGTACGGGCTCTGGCTCGTGTCGATCATCTGCGAGGTCTGGTTCTTCTTCTCCTGGATTCTCGATCAGTTTCCGAAATGGAACCCGATTCGGCGGGAAACGTACATGGACCGGCTGTCGCTGCGCTTCGAGAAGCCCAACGAGGACTCGCAGCTCGCAGCCGTCGATCTGTTCGTATCAACGGTGGATCCGATGAAGGAGCCGCCGCTGACGACGGCCAACACGCTGCTGTCGATCCTGGCCGTCGATTACCCCGTCGAGAAGGTCGCGTGCTACTTATCCGACGATGGCGGCTCGATGCTGACTTTCGACATGATGGGCGAGACGGCGGAATTCGCGCGCATCTGGGTGCCCTTTTGCAAGAAGTACAACATCGAGCCGCGCGCGCCCGACGTTTATTTCATCCAGAAGGTGGATTTTCTGAAGGACAAGCTCGATACTTCGTTTGTGCTTGAGCGTCGCTCCGTGAAGCGGCAGTACGAGGAGTTTAAAGTGCGCATCAACGCGCTCTGCGCGCGCTTCCAGAACGTGCCGGCCGACGGGTGGACGATGCAGGACGGCACGCCGTGGCCCGGGAACAAATCCCGCGACCATCCCGGCATGATCCAGGTGTTCCTCGGGCCTAACGGCGGCGCGGGGTCGGACGGCATGCCGCTGCCGCGGCTCGTGTACGTGTCGCGTGAGAAGCGGCCGGGGTACAATCACCACAAGAAGGCCGGAGCCATGAACTCGCTGGTGCGCGTCGCGGCGGTGCTGACGAACGCGCCGTACATTCTGAATCTGGATTGCGATCATTACATCAACAACTCGCGCGCGCTTCGGGAGGCGATGTGCTTCATGATGGACCCGAACGTGGGGCGGCGCGCGTGCTACGTGCAGTTCCCGCAGCGATTCGACGGCATCGACCCCAGCGATCGATACGCCAACAACAACACCGTGTTCTTCGACGTGAGTGTTGCCGATTAACATATTCTGTTTAGCTTCTCTATTAACTTCTTTATTATGTATTATCTATATGATCCTTCGGGCACAGAATGCTACGGCCTCCTCCCGTCGTCCCCTCCATGTCTCGCCGCTCACCGTCGTCTTTCCCTGCCTCCCGCCTCGCCTTTCCTGCCCCGCCACTCCCTCTCACGACTTTGACTGGTCCAGATTAACTTGCCCGGGCTTGACGGAGTGCAAGGGCCCGTATACGTCGGAACTGGTTGCTGCTTCCGGCGGCACGCGTTGTACGGATTCGACCCGCCCAAGAAGGAGAAGAAGTCGCGCAACGGCATCTGCGCGCTCTGCCACTGCATCTTCTGCTGCGGGGGTTGCGGCGGGCGCAAGCAGAAGAAGGCCGCGGAGCTGCAGGCGCTGGCGGAAGGCGGAGGGCTGAGCGACGGGAAGAGCAAGGGGAAGGGGAAGGGGCGCAAGGGGAAGGGGAAGAGCGGGCGCATGGAGCGGATCGCGGAGGGGAGGGAGGAGGTTGCGGCGATGGCTATGAATGCGATGGGCATGGGGATCGACGACGTGGAAGGTAAGCGAAGGGAGATGATTCTCGTTCTTACTTACAAAACCCACCGACGTTTCTGTTTCGTTTCACCAAAAGAAATTACCCACCCCAAAACGAATCATCAAAAACGAATTCACCCACCCTCAAACACCCCGAATTATAGACATCCCCTTATCTTCCCCACACAGCCATCCGCCCCTCACCTCCGCCGTCACCCTACACCCTCTTCCCTTTCCCCCCTCCCCCTCTGCACCCGCCCTCCAGGCATGACGGAGGAGGACGAGAAGGGAAGCCTGATGGCGCTGAAGAAGTTCGAGAAGCGGTTCGGCGCGTCGCCCGTGTTCGTGCTGTCCACGTTCCACGAGGAGGGCGGGGGCGTGGCGTTCACGGGCCCGGGATCGACGCTCAAGGAGGCGATCCACGTCATCTCGTGCGGCTACGAGGAGGGCACGGACTGGGGCAAGGAGGTATGATTCGTTGGTACCCTTTTCGGTTCGGTCTAATGCCAGTTGTTACCCTCCCGTCCACGAGGGCGTTCGCCAGCCCCCCGATTGACGCTCAAGGGGGCGATCCGCGTCACCTCTGCGGCTACGAGGAGGGCACGGACTGGGGCAAGGAGGTGAGGCTCGGCGCCCCTGTGTGTTTCTCTCGCCCTGTGACGCGTTTTCTTCCCATTCCCTTTGTGTGCAACACAATCCTCCTCCCATTCCCTTTATGTTCCAATGCCGCGCTGCACCGACCCGCACCGCCCGTCCACGCTCCCAACCTCCCCCATTGGACCCCAACGTGCTCCTATAACCCTGACACCTCCTCCCGTTCCCTCCCGTCCCCCGCATTTCCCGCTGCAGATCGGGTGGATCTACGGGTCCGTGACAGAGGATATTCTGACGGGCTTTAAGATGCAGTGCCGCGGGTGGCGCTCCATCTACTGCCAGCCCAAGCGCGTGGCGTTCAAGGGGTCTGCGCCCATCAATCTGTCCGACCGTCTGCAGCAGGTGCGTGGCGGGGAAAGTTGGGTTGGGAGGCCGGGGAATGGGGAGAGAGGCGGGGGGGGGGGGCGGGGGAAGGGGGGGAAGAGGCGGGGAGAGGTGGGAATAGACGGCGGTGGGGGAATGTGTGTCGTGCTTTGCTCATTGGATAGGATTTGGAGCGATTGGGCCTTACCGAGGATCCCTTACTTTCCCCACTCATTATCCCCTATAATTCCACCCCCCCCCCAACCACCCTTCCCCCCAACCCTCCATCCCATCACCCTCCCTTACCAAACCTCGCTTGGTTTAATCACCGTCCCTCTCTTTCCCTTCATCTCCTGTTTGCCGCCCGTCGTGGTGCAGGTGTTGCGTTGGGCTCTGGGTTCCATCGAAATCTTCCTCTCCCGTCACTGCCCCATCTGGTACGGCTGGAAGGCAAACCGTCTCAAGGTGCTGCAACGGCTGGCGTATGCGAACACGGCGGTGTACCCTTTCACGTCGTTTCCGCTGCTCGCGTACTGCATGCTACCCGCGATCTGTCTGTTCACGGGGAAATTCATCATTCCCGGGCTGACCACCACCGCGACGCTGTATTTCGTCGGGCTTTTCGCGGCGATTATCGCGACGTATGTGCTGGAGCTGAGGTGGAGCGGGGTGGGTCTGACGGAGCTGTGGAGAAACGAGCAGTTTTGGGTGATTGGTGGCGTGTCGGCGCATCTGTTCGCGGTGTTCCAGGGCCTTCTGAAAGTTCTAGCTGGCATCGACACGAATTTCACAGTCACTGCGAAACAGGCGGATGACGGCGAGTTTGCTGAGCTGTACATGGTGAAGTGGACCACGCTGCTGATTCCCCCGATGTTCCTCATCATTATCAACGTCCTCGGGATTATCTCGGGACTTGCTCAGGCGATGAATATGGGGACGGTCGGGTGGGGGACAATGTTCGGCAAGATTTTCTTTTCGCTCTGGGTGATTCTGCATCTTTACCCTTTCCTGAAGGGTATGAGCGGGAGGAACAAGCGCGTGCCGACGCTGGTTATCGTGTGGTCGATTCTGCTCGCCTCGGTGTTTTCGCTGCTCTGGGCGGATATCAACCCGTGGGGTGAGCAGGCGACTGGGCCTACTGCCGAAGAGTGCGGCATTCGCTGCTAAAAGGGTGGAGCATTGTGGTGCATGGTGGCTCATGGGGGACGGTGCATTCATAGCTTGGTGGGTGGATGTGGAATGGCGGGAGGAGGATACCTAAGTGAGAGAATAAGAGTGACAGCCCTGGATGGATGCACAAGGATTCGGTTGGTTCCAAAAGCGGCTGAAGGTGCCGCATCCACATACCATATACGGTCCTATAGTCAAGAATGACTCGATTCTGGGTCTTGTAGGAAAACGTTCCTTCTGTAGGTCTCAAGTCATGCTGGTTCTTGTCTTCTCCCTCCCTGTCTTGCTCTTGCTCCCTAGCTCGTGTGCTAGACGTCGGAAAGGCCACTGTAACTTTGATGGCCATTCATTTAACAGTTAGAGCGTATTCCTACCCTCAATAAGAACCGTGAGTTATAGGGGTGTCAACCAGGCTCCGTGGTACCGTATCAGGGCACATTCCGCTGTGGACACATGTCCCAATCGATGTGTCCCAATCGAGTGTACCGCTCCGAACCGAACTAAACCAGAGACGCGAAAATTTTGAAACTAGGGTGCAATTTGGTGTAATACGATGCAGTGCGGTAGAAACAATTGGGACAAAACTATTGGGACATGTGTCCACAGCGGAATGTACCCTCAGACAAGACGTGGAAGGGGGTGCAAGTGTGAGGAGGGACACGTGGGAGTTATGATATGGTACAAGTCATATGAATCCCGAACTCGAAGCCCATTCTCAGCAATGACAACACGGCTGACTGGCTGCTGCAACTGCCGCAGCAGCTGCTGAGGCGGAACCTGGGTTTGTTGCAGCAGAAAGAAGGCACTGGGCTAAGCCATAGTCCTTGGGGTGAGGATTCGACTTCAGTGAGGAAAAGCTCTAATCTACAAGTTCTGTACCTCTGGCAGTAAAGGAGGACTAGACTAGAGACCAAATTTGAAGTGGTTTGATTTGAGCAGAGTAGGAATTTGAAGCCGCCCCAAATAAGTCGGGTACGGTGCAGTGCCCCCCTCAAGTCTCAATCTTTGCTAGAATAGTACTCTAAGTAACTTAGGAGGTAGGTATAGCGAGTGAGACAGGCGAGAGGCGTGACGATAAAGTTGGAGAATGGTAGGGGTGCACCATCAAACAAGGTGAAAAACCACAAAAAAATGTATACAAATACAACATAAACAAACTACACCGTGCGAAGCCGTATACAAGAAGTCTGGTGGAGCTGGTGCTGCTGGTGATGATCCAGTCCAGATGTATTCTGCTTAGCAACAGCTCAAACTCAGAAGAACAAAGACCTAGTGGTATCACAAAGACCTAGTGGTATCACAAAGACCTAGTGGTACCTAGGGGCTAGTGTTCCACGCAGTAATTGGATGGCGAAGTTCAGTCAGTCAGGTGTTGCTTTGCTCCGCTAGGAGCGTTGGGAGGCGTTTAATCAGCAACCGCTCAGCTGTTGCCTGAAAGGTGATGGAGGCAAGGAGGATTGAATGGAAGATGCGAGTCAGAACGGATGGGTACATTTGAACAGTATGTTACCATACATTGCTCATGGGGTGGAGTATGTTGAAGACACCAATCAGGATATGGAGCAAGAGTGTCACCATACAGTTACATGTTGAAGCATCATACATGACGCATCCTATGGGAGGCATGATTATCAATCAATGTCTCACATTCACGCACCTCGTGCGGTCCACTACACCCCTTGCCGAAGAAGCCAACGAAATCCGATACGATAGATTTGAATAAAATCACATTAGATGCATGGTCATATCATCAACCACCGCCACCTGTATCACCCCTGGAATTTCAAAGATATTCCCCAAACATACCTCAAATATATCCCATGTCTGTTCTAGTTATTTCCCAAGCAATCTCCCAAACTCACGAGTTCCCCAAGTTTTCTCCATGTACTTTCCAATATTCTCTTGGTACTCACCAAACCTCCCAAACTTTTTCCCCAATTACTGCCCTAGTACACCCCCGCTATTTCCCAAGCATTAACAAAATCTCCCGCAATAAGCACTTGCCTCTGTCATGGGTGCATTGGGTGGAATGTTTGAAGCCAAGATAACTGCACATCCCAACCGCTTGCCTGCGGTGGGGGAGGGGAAGGGAGGGAGAGAAGAAGAGACAGAAAGAGTAAAGCGGAGAGAGGGGGGCGGGGAGAGTGAGAAGAGGAAGGAAACTAGGGAAGACGGGGAAAGGAAGACATAATATTAAATTTTCATTAAGAAAAGATAATTCAGAAATCATTCCAAGGCCGCCATATTCTGATAAAGTTGAGTTGAGAAGCCTCGAGTTACGTTTTTTGACACGCCTCAAAGTTTGAGTGTTGAAATCCCACAATTGGAGTTTTGAAAGTATCAACCTTTAACCCGAAAATTGTCCAGGTATGCCATGACATATTCTGCTCTCACTTATTCTGGCAGCCATTGTTGCAGAAGCACCCTCGGCACCACCACCAATCAGAGGCGTTACGAGCGGCATGGGGTCCTGACAGGGCGGTAGGGTGGGCGGGAAGGGAAAGTGTTGGGAGCATAGCAGAAGTGGGGGAATGGGAAGTGGGTGTAGAGGGGTGGGAGGGATATGAGATGGTGGGGTGGTTCGATCGGGGTTAGGAAGCGAGGGGGGGGATCATGGTAGAGACAAGAGATAGTCGATGGGAGTGTACGGAGAAAGATGGAGCGAAAGAGAGAAAGATCGGGACCCTTGCATAATGGATTGGATTAGAATGGACTGGATGGGCCACAAAAGCAGACAGGGACCAACCGAAAGCACGTTGGATTGGATAGGATGGAGGAGGACGAGATGGGGTCTTGGAGGGGGCGTGAGCAGTTTTTGGGGAGCCTCAAACGACAGATGGCGAGGTGTGAACGTACGAATCTGGTGGGGATTGCGGTGTAGACGTTGCCGTGGGCTGCTGTGTTGAGCCCCACCCACACGTACACCTGCTGGGTGGTGGGTGTATGGGAGCATTGGGGGTTGGGCCACGGGGGTATGGGAGCAAAGGATGTTGCCGTGGGCTGCTGTGTTGAGCCCCACCCACACGTACACCTGCTGGGCGGTGGGTGGAGGTATGGGTGTATGTGTGCGTGGGGGGTTGGGTGGCATGGGGAAAGGGGATGGGTGGATGTGTGCATGTGTGGGGCCGTTTTGAGACGCCACGAAAGGAGCTTCCATGGAGTGAAGTGTTTAGACCAACCCACACGTACACCTGCTGGGGAGGTAGGTGGGGGGATAGGAGCATCGGGACATGGAAAGCACAGGAGCACGGACACATGCGGCATGGGCGCATGGGTACAAGAAAGCCAACAGGGTGTGGCAGGGGCGAGATGCAAAGCAAGGCAGCCCAGCGCGAGAAAGTGAGGAGGAAAGCGACGTTTGAGTCAACTCGTGAGGGGTAAAGCCACACCACACGCATAGCAAAGCTTGCGGCATGTCGCCAGCATGAGGAAAAGCCATGCAACACGCTTCCCCGTTGAAAAGAATTCGCAAAAAAGAGAACACCGGTGCGGTTTCGCGTAAATCGCAGCGTTTGGTGCTAGATCCGCTCCCCCATACCGGTGCTAGCAAGCTAGGTCATTAGATCTGCTGAGTCAGATTTCAGAAAGCAGACTAGAAAGAGTTATAGCGGCTTGCAGCGACCAAACCCGTTTCTTTCAATAAGGTTTGGTGCGCTAGACATGCTCCCCCATCTTGGTGCCATCTCAGTCTTTTATTGGGCTTGGTTTTTTGTTTATTATTTCTTTTTCACCTCTCCTTCACCATATTGTTCAACGCTCAGCATCTCTCGTATCCTCACCCCTTTTTCCAACTCCTTCCACCTCCTGTCTCCTCCCTCTCCGTAGCCCACTTAGCCTTCCCACCTTATTCCCCCTCCACTTAACCCGTCCTCCTCATCCCTCCTTACTCCTACTTACCCCCTATTTACCCCTCCTCTACCCTCCAATTGACCTCTCTTACTCACCCCTCCCATTGGACCCTCCTGCTTACTCTTTTTTCACACCAATCATCCCCACTATCCTCCTATTTACCCCTCCCCTAACATCCTAACTTCCCCTGCGCGCACCCCTCACACGCGTACCTGCTGGTTCAGCTTCATTGTTGAATCGACTCAAAAGTCTCCCTTAATGTCCTAAATTCCCCTGAGCTCGCCCTCACACGGGCACCCCTCACACGGGCACCCCTCACACGCGCACCCCTCACACGCGCACCTGCTGGTTGAGCTTCACCACTTGAAAATGAAACGTTCCGTCGGGACCCTCCTCGCTGAATTCGCGCATCCAGATCCCACCGTCAGTTGCGCCCTCGCTGCCTTCCCCGCGATTTACGCGCTCCCCTCCCGTGGCTGCCGCCGTAAGAGGCGGCGTCGCCACAGTTTTTTCGCCTGGAGAATCGCCACCCCCCGCCGGCCCCGCTGCCGCGGCCGCCGCGGAAAGATCCGCGAGCCCGCTAGCGGACGGCTCCGCAAGCTCCGCGGAAGATTGGGCGCGATAACGTTCCGCCATCGGTTTCGGGTACTGTTCGGTGTGTGCCACAGCAAGCAAAATCAACAGCTACACGCGGCGATGATGAATGAAGAACTTGAAGTCAAATTTTGTTGTGTAGCAGCTTGCTTATACATGCTTACACTATTTGTCAGATGGCTTTGTCAGATGGCTTTGCAGTCAACTCCTTATATGAATATATATACGTATATAATGGGGAAACTCAAATTTATTACTAAAAACCAACTCTATCGAGCAGCAAGAGGAGTCTTCAAAATGGATTCATAGTGAATATATGGAATCACATTGAAGTGGAATACAAAAAGCACTAGCTGGGGTATGGTGTAAGCACCAAGTGTACACGAATGTACACAATATCGCAACTATTGCTCGATTTATTAGCCAGTCATTTTGCGGACCGCATTGACCACAGCTCGAGTGTGGTGCGGTGCGTGCCGCAGCCAAGCCTGTCATCCAGCTCCCACCCCTGGTTGGACAGAAGGTGACAGTACATGTAACAGCTGTTAGTGTTTTCCAGCGGTGAGGTCTGGTTCGGTGTGGGAAAAGGGGATCACTTGCCCAAACGATTCTTTGCTATTGTCACGGCCGCCAATTTCCAGTCAAGCCTAAAACGAGCCGCGTTCCTTTTTCAATACAGTACCATCCCTTGAAAATTCATCGCATCGCATCCAATCACTTCGTCATCTTTCGTATCGTCAATTCGAGGCGCCCTCCGAAACATCCGTGCCACACCCATCCCATCCACGATCATTCATTCCATGCTTGGCCATGCTTCGTTCCAGCGCATTTGCGATATTGGCCAGGCAGCAAGAAATTTGGTGGCTAGCCAAGGAGTCAGAGGGGCATATGTACCCAAGACCACAAAGAATCATGCATTCCTGTTTTACGTTTTGATTACCATTAGACGACTCATACTGTGAGGTAACTACAACGAGAAGAAATGATCCTAAGTCTTAGCAAAACGACAATTTCTAGAAACCTTGAGTCTCTGACATTGGCGGAAAAGAATAGCCCATGAAGACTGCAAACTCATAATTATTGGGGCTCCAAAGCTTGTGATTTATTACTAATAATCAAACCAGTCAAAATCAGACGAAATCTTCTATAAATTTCCAGTCACTCCGGGGGCTACAACGGTAGCACGCCGTTGGCCTCGTTGATGGGAGGTAGCGTGTGGCCGTCAAAGGCGGTGTAGAGGCAGTCGGCGGACATGACGCTGGACGTGCGGTAGTCCTTCACCTCGCCGTCCAGGTACCCTCGGCCCTCCACGCCGTCCGCCGCGAACGACCGCCGCAGCAGTACCGACAGCGACGTGTACTCCAACGCGCGTTCCCGCCGGCCCTCGCGGTACGTCTGCCCCATAATACCGTGCATGGAGGGGGTGCGTTCCACGTTCGCGAAGTGCAGGTTGATGTGCGTCTGCGCGTCCGCCTCTGTCTGCAGCAGCGGGTGCGCGGGCCGCAACTCCACGTCCAGCTTGATCAGCCCGTCCACCTCCAGCGAGTACGCGTCCACGTCGAAAAATCCGCCGCCCTGCTTCTCGTACCCCGTGAACGCCAGCGTCAGCCCGCCGGGAAGCGCGTACTTGCTGCCCACGGACAGCAGCGGAAGCGCCTTGCCGTTAAATTCCATCGCTCCCATGTACCCCGCGCCGCGCGCCATCTCCTTGCCGTCGCGCGCCGCCATGCGGAACGAGTGCTTCACGCCCGCCGCGTCGATCCACAGAATGCCCAGCTCCTTGATCCACGTTCGCACCGCCTTGCCGCCCTTCAGGATCGACGCGCCGATCGTGCGGTCGTCGTAGTACCCGCGCATGCGCATGTTGACGTGGATCCGCTCGTCCGTGACGAGGCAGAAGCTCTGGTCGGGCAGCCCGTTGAAGTCGAATTGCGTGCCCTCCGCACCCGTGAAGTGCGGATCGTTGAGCGACGACGGGCATGGCCGCGCCACGCGGGTCACGTTCCACAGAATGCCGTCGGGAATGCACGTGGGAGCAGCCGCTAGCGGCGGGTAGATGTAGCACACGCCGCAATTTGCGCAATCCGACCGTCTGTTTGGAGACACAAGGAAGCAGCAAAGAGAGAAGGATAACAGGGTCAGCCTGACACAGAGATCCGAAAATTGTCCCGACACAGAGATCCATTCATCGGACGGCTTCGTGCGCCGCGTTCCATTCTCGAAACATGTACAGGTTCGTCGGGGGGAAGTAACTCACGGTTGGTAGAACTGCCAGTAGGTGCACGTGCGGCGGCTGATGCACTTGTTGCAGCACGCGGGCAGGCTCATGCCATCGTAGCAGTACAGGCGGGACGTGCTGACTGCGTTGTTGTACTCTGGCGGACACGTCGCATTCTGCAGAAACGCGGGGAGCGAGTAGCGCGAGTACACGCCGGCGTTGCCCGAGTTGCACGCTGTGGAGCACGTGATGTTCTGCGCCGGTACGCACGGATCGCCGGTGGGGCTGTTGCTGCCCGTCGTGCCGGTCGTGTTAGTGCTCGTCGATCCGCCACCGCCGCCGCCGGCGGCGGCATGCGACGGCACTGCCAGCACTAGGAGTGTCGCAAGTAGCAGTACGAATCTCATCATTACGATTGACGTAATCAACACAACGGAGCTGAAGTTGTCGAAAATTGGAAGAGAGTGGTAGTACCGCAATGAGTGTAAGCAGATTTCCCACTGGTCCTGGGAACTAGAGTCTGTGAGTAGAAATGCGGTGTCAGGCAGACTGGCTAGCAGTCGAATTTCCAGGAAGGTTGTGCTGCTGTTTTGCTGGGAGCTGTGACTAGCACAAATGAGTAGAATGAGGAGACGAGCCTACTAATTATTGCCAAGTATTGGAGCTGGGTGAGTTTATGTACAAAATCTTCGCGCCTGCACGTGTGCCCACTACCAACATTCTCGAGTCGCGACGTCCATTACGCAGCGGTTGACAGTGTAACCAGCAAGGCGAATTGCTTACCTTCCAACGGGTATAAGCTGTTTGACGCTCTTCTACGGTTGTTTACTACGGTTGGAAACGATGCTTGACAAATGCTGGTGTCACACCCACAGTTGCAATTCGTAGTAAATATATAGCTTGACTTCCGCAATAGCTGTTGTGTTGGGGCTTGACAACCCTACAGCTACTATCGAGGACTAATACTAGCCTATGGCTTCACTCGATAGCCTAAGGGCGGGGGCAGCGCGTTCATTTTCGCCACTTTTACAAAATTTTGACACCCGTCGAATCTGGAGGTTACTGTAGCTTTTTTGTACCGCGCTTAGTTTGTGTCCCAGGTGGGACACGCGCGTCCAGAATTAGGCACAGGTCCCGCCACACTTTTGCCCAACCGCCCACCCAATGAGGTAACCCTGTACGACCGAATTGAAGGTACGAATCTGCATTTGTGAACCCTTGGATTTGCGAGGGTCGTACGCGCTTGACGAAGTCGTGGTGCGGTTTCGCTAACCTGCACAAAGGCTTTCTCAAATGTTGCACGGGTTGTTCGCGGACGTTGTGGGTACGTGTTTTGTTCGGTTGACGGCACGGAAAACAGCCACCGTTCATCCACTGTATACTCCGTCGTGTCCACACGTTACCCTAAATCAGGGTTACAAACCGCTGAATCTGGTAACTGTTTCGGGCTAAGCCAGGAAAATGAACGCGCTGCCCCCGCCCTAATTTAAAATGCTCCATCCATCCATCGTGCGCCTGTGCTGCATGTCGTGGTGGTGAGCCACTGAGCACTGGTGACATGTTGCTTGACAATGGAGCCAGCTGGTTTCCATGACAGTCAAGCTATTGACATGTCTGCTGAATTCAGAAGATGACAAGTTTCATGTAGGGATTTCTTGTCTTGTGGTACCTTGCCCAACCTGTTGCCCTTTTTTCTTTTTGGGCAGCCGAGCCGAAATCAAGACCGCTTGATCCCCGACAGGGAGGACGCTGTCAACGGTTCTAAAACGACAATATTCTCGTCTGTTTTAGCTTCGACTGAGGCCCGAAATAGTCAAGGTGTCAGAGCTTCCTTGGGGGCACTCGTGATTCGTCGTACACAAAAATGTTCATCTCCGCTGCTGTTGGGTCAGTACCACGACCGAACCGGAGTCAACGGGAATGATCGATGTCAGGCAACGGTCCCCCAAATGCCCGACCATTCTGGCATCACGCCCCCTGCCAGCATGAATGAAACCCCCACCAGTTGTCTGACGTAGCGCCTCGTGGCTTTCGCAGGGTTTCACCTCGACAACAGTCCTGAAGCTTGCCAATGTGCTAGTCCGCCAGAACGGAGTCCGAGGAAACCCTCGTAGAATTAGAGGGGTATTCGTACACTGAAAATAACCTCCTGAAAAAACATCGTAATCGCACGGTGTCACAATCAACAAGGTTGCTGAAAATCAGCAGATACTACCTCAAAATCTAGTCGTTGTTGACAATCCAGCATTGCCGCCAATTGCGGCTGGTGATTCTCTGATGAAAGGAGTCTCTCTCAAGATCACGACACTACATGCAGTGAGGCGACAAACTGTTGTAATGAAAAGCTGGAAAACCACCTAAACAATAGGATTGAGAGGACCAGAAATGAGTTTTTTCGGGAATTTCATTAATCCTGTCAGTTCTAGAAATTTGACGCTGCAAAATCCAGGGTGTGAATAGACGGTGTACTTTGATAATAACAGACCGACAAACATTGCGCCAGGTCATTGAGTCAAGATCGAAGGTGTCACTGAATAGCTCACATCACCCAACAGTGGTCTGGTTGTCAGGCGATGCTGGTTACACTGTCAACCAATGT